GCGTATAAATAGTACGCCAAATAAAAACGAAAACTCGTGGTATTGATACGCAAAAATGGACTTTGGACTTACGCGATGGGTAGGTTTAGGGTTGTGGGTAGATGCGTATATCATATGTATGCGAAAACTGCGTATCATATGCACGCCAACAAATTTCGTATCATATGCACGCGAAAACTGCGTATTATATGCACACCAAACACGTGCGTATCATATGAACGCCAAAGTCCATTTTTGCGTATCAATACCATGAGTTTTCGTTTTTATTTGGCGTACTACTTATACGCATTTTCATGAGACCGGGCTCTACTGTCTGTTCAAAATAAATGAAAAGAAATCTAGCATAGATATGTTGTTTTTTCCTGTTGTACCGAAATCGTATCGAACCGTGACCCCCGAACCGAGGTAGCCTACGTACCGAACCGTGACATCTGTGTACCGTTACACCTAGCAAAACGGAGCACACCGATTTGAGCTTGAACGTGCCCCAGGTATCGGAGTCGATGCAAAATCAGCCCTAACGTTTTCACCTGGGAAATGGAAAACCCGAAATGGATCTCAAGCCCAGTCATCACTAAGGCTTTGAGCGGAAGGGAAGGAAAGCTCTGTGGCTCCACTCCACCCTGTGCGCTGATCCAGACCGGCATTTAGTCTGTGCATTGCATGAAACAAGTAAAGCAAAGCAGAAATGTATGCAACTTGCTTGCCAAATTACAGTCAGTACACAATATTAATGAATTGTTCAGGGAACCTGTATAAAAACTTTCACTGTATGCCTTTGAATAACAGCACGTGGCAATAGGTCGTGATTATTCAGTACACCAGCATTTTCCGCACTCCTTATTTTTCAAAGCAAGTTTTTCTGTAATGGAACATTTGATTTTTTATTACGTGATTTTTTTTTTTTGATCCACACAAGTTTTATGTAATTTGAACTCTTATTTTCTCTCAAACACTCGATTAAAGCTAATTTCAAAACCAAAATATATCATTTTCACAAACCAAAACATGAATCCGAAGGGTTTTGCACTGCAAGTCTATTCTGAAGAAACAAAGCAAGCAAAAACAGCCATGCGTCCTGGAGCTGTTCATGGAGTCAAATCTGGCTAAGGCACAGAACCTGGTAAATATGTCATAGAAGAACCAAACACGCTGACCACATCAATGCAAGATTAATTATTTAATGAGTATGATCCTTCACCATTACAGTCATCAATCAATCCACCTGCGCATCAAGTGAGCTCTGCTTTATGGTCCTATGCGTATAATGCACCAGTGCAAGAATGAGATCAAGGGTGAACTGAGACAAACAGACCACGAGAAAGGTTTCTGATGCACTGATGTCATCTTGGTGCAATCATTCATTTGCTGTACAAGTTCGTGATCAGACTGGTAACTTACCTTCCGAGGTGAGCTGCTATAGGATTCACTAAATGTTCATCTGAACAGCGAATAATCTCAGTGACTGGTGAAACGTTCGAGTCATATATCCGCTTACAATTTTATTGTTGGAGCAGAGTAATAAATAAAAAGTGCAAGTGTCCAGTTTTTGTCCCCGTTTCGAGAAGTCATCTATCAAGAGTGAGGGTGGGGGGAAATCACCAGCAAAAACCGTTCATGCGGACACGATGTCGATTATAATGCATTTTGCTAGCCGTTTTAATACGACTGCGATAAAGCGAAAAGACGCGTCGAGACTGTTGATGTCCAAGCACTATAATGCACTTGCTTTCTCCTCATCTGCGCTCTTTATATGGATGCGCTCGAGTTCCCCTGGGTCCTAAAGATCGCACAGGACAGGACCGTTTGTTTTCATTATTTATATATGTATTTATTGTTTGTGCTTAATTCAAATGTATACTAGGTGACAATACAACAACAGCGCATACCAGCTTCCCACCATGGCTATGTTAGAACGAAACGTGTGTTGTTGACCAATCAGAAGCCAGGACCAGAACTTTGGTTTATAAATTAAACAAATTCCATCACGCATTGAGATCAAATTATGACAACATGTGCATAGACAAACAAATGAATAACTAAATTAAAATAAAATCTTAATATCTTAAGAAGTGGTATTAAAATTAAAATATGAAAGTAAATATTTATCTTCCTTCCTAAATTAGTCCTGGGGCCCGTTCTTCGTACGTCGCTAACTCAGTTAGCTGTATTTGATTGTTGATGATTTGGCATGATCTTGGATTGGTTGGTTCTTCGAAGCTCATCCCGGAGTTGCTGTCAGAGCAACAGGTCCGTAATCTTAAACCTGCTCGAGAGCAGCTTATTTAATGTAAACAGGATTAGATTGCATCTTTTTAAGCAGAATTGATACTTAAAATCTGTCCGTTACCACCGCTACTTTATTACAAGAGTACCCTAGCCTACTAATCCAAGGACAATAATTTAAAATAATAATAATTTAAAAATTAATTTAAAGATAATATAATAATGTTGTGTAGTCTTTAATACTATAGACACAGCCAGTTTTACTCACTGAAATATTTATTCGTCATAAAATTATTACTTCATAATTGTATTCGAGTCTTACACACATGCTATACAGATAATGTAGAGTCGTGCATTAATTTGAGTGGTGACAGCTATTATGGGAGTGGCTTGATGGAGCGCAGGAGATGCAGATAACATGATCTTGACCCTTAAAAAACTTTTATTAATGCTGTCAAGTAACAAATGTGTTCAAATATAAAATTAAATGAATTGCTAATTACATTGAAATAAAAATGTAAAATATTAGAAATCGTGATTATAAATAATTTAAAAACAGTGCACATTTTATTTATCTATTATAACATTTATGTAGTTTTGTTCGCTTGGCTGTTTCCTTATAAAAGTCATCTGTAAAGTTGCAAAGACTAAAGTCTCAAATCCAATGAGATATTCTTTATAAAAGTCAAGAGTCAGCCACACCCCCCTAAAACGGCTCGTTCTAACATGCCCCCACGTATCTACATCACTATGTGGGAAGATTTGCATAACGCTGCCCAAATGTTCACGCAAAGAAAGAAGGCTAACTTTTAGTCTCACTGTAGTTTTGTTGTTGCCGCCGCCGTGTCGTGAAGAGCTGTGTGCTTCGTTGTGAAAGCGAAACTACTTTGTTTGGCCTTCCAAAAGAGGACGATATCTGCTTCGTCATGCCTGGAGCTGATCCGTGCTGGTCGCTGAGGAAATACTACAACTTTGCGCTGTGGATCACTGGATCAGCTTTCACCGTGGACGAAGCGGAGTCCAGCCCGGGGTCGTCACATGTGGTTGCCGCAGATACATAGCCCCTTTTAAACCAACCCATGAACGAGCAATTATCTCAGATAACGCAATCCAGTCATACTAATCATCAACAACAGGTGCGTTCGAAGAACCGAATTAGCCAGATCCTGATTAGCGCAATGATATCATCTTGGATGTGACTTTTCATCTCGGATGTAATAAACGGAGTATGAAGAACGGGCCCCTGTTCTTTGTTTTATCCAGCTGTGAGCCACAATCTAAACAGACAAATTACAGTGAAATTGTTTAATGCTGTCTACATCAATATTGTACATTTGGCATGTGTTTGAACATTAAATCTTAATGTCAAAAACTTGCATGTTGTTAATTGTTTTAAGAGAGAGTATAAGGAACAGGGCTGGCCCTGACCAATTTGGTGCCCTATAGGCTAGATTTTAGCTGGTGCCAGCCAATTCCACCACCAATCATTCACACAGAAACTGCATAGCTTTACCACATAAAACAAATAAAACATAGGCTGCAATATAAATAAGAGCATTGCACAAAAAAATGGACATTAAGGCAGCTACCTAGATATTTAAATGAGATAACTTAAAAGGTAACTGCAATATTTAATCTAAACTTTATCACATTGTAAAATTGCAATACTAATATGTATGTCTTAATTCCTTCATTTCAGATATTCTTAAATTTAGGGATGCACTGATCCTGATTTCACATGTCCGAGTCTGATTACCCATTTTCTTACAAGCAAATCTGATTCCTATTCATTAATACATATTTAATTTTTTTTAAGCAAGAGACAAGAAAGAATGAAAATATGAGTACACGAACAAGAGGTTTATTTTGCACTGTTGCAGGCCAAATCATTATCATCATTCATAATCATAATCAAATCCCAAGTATGGGCAATAGTATATAACCACACCTGACTTATCAAACACAACTAATAAAAATAGCGGGAAAGGCTGAAGATTTGATTCTGCATAAAGTTGGTGGTTTGCAGAATTTAGACCCTATGTAGAAATTAATTTTGCAAATAACTGGGGGGAAAAAACCCTGCACTGATGCGCTCAACTGTGCAGCAGCGATTTTAGCAGGATAATATAAAACAAGAAGTGCTTGGGTCTGGACCACAGCAGGTTAGGTGTTGTTTTTGCAAACTTTATTCACACTCTCAATTGCAACACTGCCATCCAGTGTTTAAAAAGTAGAAGACAAACTGTGTATGTATGTAGATGCAATATTAAAGGGATAGTTCACCCAAAAATGAAAATTTGATGTTTATCTGCTTACCCCCAGGGCATCCAAGATGTAGGTGACTTTGTTTCTTCAGTAGAACACATATGATGATTTTTAACTTTAACCGTTGCAGTCTATCAGTCGTATAATGCATGGCAATGGTAACAAAATCTATGAGAGTAAAAAAAACATGCACAGACAAATCCAAATTAAACCCTGCAGCTCGTGACGACACATTGATGTCCTAAGACACGAAACGATCGATTTGTGCAAGAAACCGAACAGTATTTATATCATTTTTTACCTCTAATACCCCACTATGTCCAACTGTCTTTGGGCGCGTGAAGGCATCCGGTGCGTGAGGTGTGTACGCGCTCTGGCGTAGTTTACGCAAGCACCGGAAGTGATCTCTCGTGCGTATACGTCACTCATTGTTTACACAGTGCACAGGCATTGTAGGTACGACGGCTAATCAAAATGGTACTTAC